TTCAAGAATAGTGCTGACTCGTTTCATGACAGTGGTGGACTGCAAGCTGTGTAACAATCTACTGTTCTCTTCAGGCTCTGAGATTCTATGCTTTCAAACACATACTGAAGACTTACTGAAGTTCAATGGGAGTACTTCCCCTAACCTCCCTAGGTTTTTGAAAAATCTCAGCTCCAGTCTATTCTTCCATCAATTCTTTACAACAGCAGGAGGGATCCTGGGCCCCGGGACCATATTGACTCCTGGCCTGACTGCTTCCCTACTGACAACCCACAGACCAAGCACCTCTCTGTCACTAATGGAGACATTGGTCCATCTCTTAAGGGCAGGATGCTATTTTCACTTAAGGAAGCTGCTGCATGGTCTCATTCATGAAACTAACACTTGACACTGTCTATTGTGCAGGACCAACCTTACATTCCTAGTTAAAAGTTATTGAAAGGCTGTGTTGAGACAACTTCCAGAGTACTTTAACTACCTCAGATCTTCTTAACCCATGTCAGTCTGAATACAGGTCTGGATCTAGGACAGCTATTATACTGCCACAGGACTCTTTGCAGCTATTGCACTGGTACTATTGGTTGACCACCTCCTGGCAATAGATGAGGATCATGTGCTCATCCTGATGTGAAGAGCTATCAGCTGCCATGATATTAGTAAGTATCACTGACTCACCTGAGGTCTACACAGCAAAAGATAAGGCTGCTCTTGGGTCCTTCCATGCCTCCTCTGCCTCCAGTGGCTGGCAGAGGCCAGTTGTCCTGAATCAATGTTCTCTTTCCCCAAGAGTACTATTTGGAATTTCACAGGGTTCTCTCTCATCTTCACTCCTATTCAACATGTATATAGGGCCATGGGGGGGGAAGAGGGAGGAGGAGCAGAGCAGCCAGCTCTTGCTCTCCAGCATGCATGAGTCTGTTCATGTTGTTGAGCACCTGACCATGTTTGGAGATTGGGGCTTGGAGGAGAGCTAGCTGGCTATCTAGATATAGCGGAGTTGAAGTTGGTAGACTGAAGTAGCAAAGATGTCACACTGACCTTTGACAGCCCCATCTGAGGACATATCTGCCATCAGTTATTCAAATTCACACTCTGGGACTCATCTTGGATTGCCAGCTGCTGTCAGTTGACAATAGAGCAGCTGTGCCTCATAATACTTTATTCAGGTGTCAGGGGACAGGACAAAAAAAAACTGCTGTGATTCATGCCTTTCTCCAATGCAAATGACTACTGCTATTCTATCAAGGCACACCACTGCCTTCTATATCAGTTTTAGTTTTCAAGTGAAAGTAGAGCCCCATGTATGAGCACTGAACTAATCTAGCTTTGAGGCAGACACAGGTATTAGTCTGTGCTATAAAGTTCTGAGGCCTGGGGGGAGGGAGAGGCGTTATCCTCTTCAGGAATAGCCTCTGCTTCCTCCTCCTTCCCACTGCCCATAGCTGCAGTCCAGTCCATGGTTTCCACCACACCATGGTACAACAGTCCCTTGAGAGCCTTTCAGCTTTGGAACCATTTCTCCATCTGATTTTCCAGGCATGTTGCAAGCCCTGCCTTTTTATACAGGCCTTTGAAAGAAGAAAGTGTATAGGGGCTGAATTTCCATTGGGGGATTGCTGGCTGCACTTACTAGTCCTTGTTTCAAAGCATCCAGAGTAACAGACAGCTTTTTGTAGGTCTCCTTAGAAACACAGATTGCTGTTTCCACATTTGTATCTCAGCTGTTCCTTTCTTTGGCACAGGATTCATCTGCACTGAAACTCATCTCACTGCACAACACTCGCTGTTCTGAATCGCTGAAGTCTTCTGCAGTTGGTAGCTACCATAATGGATTTGCCTTTCTTCTAACTCTGATGTGATTAGAATTTGCTAAAGGTTGAATACTTCTCTCCACTGTTGACCGTGGTGCACCAAGAAGAGATCATGTTTGGGTTGGAGGCAGGCAGGCTGAATATGTTCCTGTGATTGTAGGCACTGAGGGTTCTTGCACTCCTTCCATCTTCATGTTTAAATGCAGCGGTCTCAACTTCGTTGATAATAAAATGGATAACAGTTCTCCACAACTTTCAGGAACTTTCATTCTACTATCCCCAAAACCAATTATGAAATGTTTTTCTTTTTTTAAACTGCTTTGTTTTCTGAAGTATTACAAAAGACTAGCGAACTTGTCTGCAAGAGCTGATGACAGAAACACCCCACTATGCATATGGGAGGAGAAACCTCTCCTGTAAACAGCAGCTCTTGGGTTTCTTTGGTCTTCCTACTATGCCCATTTTCTAGCAACCTTTGTTTTGTGAACTTACCTGGTGACAAGAGATGGTTCAACCATAGCTGAAACTGGCAATCACCTATTGCACAGAACAAAGTAGACAATTATTCTAGGCCAGAAAACTACTTGTGTCAGTGGACAAAAGGTTTGGACATTTTCTATTTCACTAAGAGCAGAAAAAAAAACCTAGGGCAAGCGCTAACTGAATGACTCTGTCCAGGTTAATTTTTAACAACTTTACAGTGTAAACAGTGGTGTATGCAAGGCTTACCCACCACTAACACTGCACTAGCTAGAGCAAGTTGGTACACGTAGTATGTCTTATCTCCTAGGTGAGTGCTAGTGTTTACAAGTCCACATTGACTTAAGGCGCAGAAGCATCTTTCAGACCTTGAATCTGCCATTTGGAGTTTTCTATACTCACTGCATTCAAGGAGCTATTTTATCTTATCTACCACAGTGCACTATATCTGGGAACTCCAGGCCAGGAAATTGCTTCCAGCAGCATCAGTACCATTATTTTCCTGTTGGCCTATTGTCCAAAGCATTTCTGTGAATGCTAGAAACACCTGTGCAGTCAGTCTTCATTGCAATCTTGTGGTTAGACTGGTGTGGGAGTTCAGAGTCCTCATTTTCTATTCCCATTTCTCAATCACTTTGACATAGTTAAACCAACTTATTTTCACGCTGCCATCAATGCACTTACCTATTAAAAAAAAGGCATTATAGACAACCATCTCAGAAAGCTGTTGAGAGCCACGTCAACTCAGATCAGGCTCTCAAACTAAGCAAATTTGGACCATCAACTTTCAGATGAGACCTCTGGAGATGACCTAGCTGAACTTGTAGTTCAACAGATGGCTTTTTCTGTTAATGCAGAACCAATATCTAGCATTAGGGTGCTTTACGCTGCTGGAGTGCTGTCTTTGGACAGGAGCTACAATAAAACCTGTATTCTTTTTTTATTTCCAAAACTCCAGCATAATTTTCGTAGAATATTAAGTCCTACTGACCTAGGGAAATTCCTGTCTGACTGCATTCTAGATCCCAAAACATACACTATAGTTTCAATTGAAAATCATATTCTTCAATTTCTGACCTGAATAGCCATGTAGGGTTCCCATGCACTATTAAGCAGCTGTTTTATCTGAGCCCACAAATGGCTACATTTCAGTGCTGGACAAAGCAATTCCTGTCTTCCACAAACAGTCAAGTTTGATAGAGGAAAGAACAAGAATATTTAATGGTCAGTTATGGAATGAATAACCTGTATGGAAAGAACTTTGTCAGTTTCGTAATCTGCACTTTGAAGCAAAAAGGGCTTAGATTTCTCAAATCAAATAATATATGTACACACATCTCATACACAGAGCCCATTTAGTTTAAGTGGGCGTTCTCATTAACCACGTAAATGCCTAATCCTCTCTTAGATACGGTAGTATGTTCCTCATGGTAATGGTGCTCTGGATGTCCCCTGTTCCCAGGGTTTGGAATGGCTGCCATAAGAGCAATTAAAAGACTGGGACTTTTCAGCTTAGAAAACAGGAGACTAAAGGAGGATATGATACAAGTCTATAAAATCATGACGCGGGTGGAGAAAGTAAATAAGTAAAAGTTTAGTTGTTCCCATAACATAAGAACTAGGGTTTATCAAATGAAATTAATAGGTAGTGGGTTTAAAACAAAGGGAAGTTTTTCTTAACACAACACACAATCTGTAGCCATCAATGGCTATTAGCCAGGATGGGTAGGAATGGGGATCCTAAGCTGTCAGAGGCTGGAAATGGATGACAGGAGAGGGATTACTTGATTATCTGTTCTGTTCACTTCCTCTAGTGCGTCTGGCATTGGCCACAGTCAGAAGACAGGATACTGGGCTGGATGGACCTTTGGTCTGATCCAGTATGGCCACTCTTTATGCTCTCATGTTCTTTCAGGTTCAGTGAAAATATGCTAATTAAGAAAAACTCCCTCAGTAACAATTAACTACTATCACAGACTATTATGGGGTCATCAATATGCAACAGAACACAATTTATGCCTTTTAGTTCTGGCTATTGAAGGTGAAGTTGTTTACTACACCTGGAAAGGAAAAAAAAGGACATTTAAAGAAGATTGTTTTAAGTCTCAAGGACAAAATCCAAATTATAAAGCAACTCAGGATGTGTGACAATTACTGTCTTTTACCTTTTCAGTTTTTCCATAAACTTTCTAAGGTATTATTTAATCAGAGTAATGTATATTTTCATTCACCCTCTGAGAGGCATTTTGTCTTCCATCCCTTTTTTTAAGTCACATCAGATATAGGGTAGCTATGGCCTTGTGTCTTGGTTCTAAAAACTTTACTTGAAAGTATATAGCACATTAAACAGATTAGGCATAGTCTCTTACTCCTGATAAGGTAAATACTGCTAGCATTTCAAAGTGGTGTTAACTGGCAAAAGTAGCAATCAATAGTGTCCAATTCCAGTACTTACCCATCCACTTTTTGTTTAGAGTTCGCTAAGCCTGCAAGAAATGGGCACAGCAATGGAGCGCTGCATTCCCTGGTTTATGATTCTTCCTCTGTTGGCTCACTTGTTCTTTGGAAGGCACCAGAATGAATATTGGCCATATCCCAACTCAGAGGAGCATGAACATTCAACTTGTTTGCTAAAGGATGCTCTTCAATGTTCTCTTTGTGGTAGAAGAGCATATAGTATTGCCTCCATCACGAGGAATTATGTTCAAATCATTTGTTTAACAGGAGATGCTAACCACATTTTTCCACAGCATCACAGATTTTAGGTGTTCCGAAAGAATGACACACCTTGGTTTTGTTTCAAGATTTCTTCAAGTAATTCTACTTACTGAAGTGTTCATTCACTGGTTACACACAGGCTCCGGCCCCACTCCCAGGTAAAGAGGCAGCAGCACGGGGCAGCTGTCAGTTTCCCAGGAGACTGCTTTCAAGCTGGCTCCCAGGATGTACCGGCTCCCAACCCTCCAGGAGCCTGCTTGTAACCACTCATGATAATCGATAACCCACAATACTCCAGGCTTATTAATTATTTAAATGGTTATCCTGTTACATTTCTGGTTAAAAGAGGGATATTTTTAAATGTGGAGTTTCTGGTTACAGTGGATTATAAAGAATATAAATATGGAGGAGTCACTGTTCAGTTTGCTTTGGCATCTCTACTTCTAGATCATAATTTTTTTTAACTGGATGCAGTTATTTTATATTCTGCAAGTGGCCGAAATTGACCATGTCAGCTTCTTAGCCCAAGGTATGCTATCCTGCAGTGTCTAAACTCATTGTTTCTTCTGTCAAAGGCCAGACGTCCCCCTTTACATCAGCTGTGGCCACAATCACTTCCCAAGTGTCAGGAACAGACAAACAATCAGGTGAAGTTAATCTACATGAAGTGGACTGTGCTGAATTTTTAGTTACTTTTTTGTCTGGAAAATATTGGCTTCCATTTGAGCCAGCTAAAAACCCCTCCAAATATTGAAGTACAAGAGAAGGGACACAGAACAGTCAAGACAGAACATTGTTTTTGTCATTTTTTTTAAATCCCAGTCCAGCTTCTAGTAAGATTGGACACTACTTACAACACTCTTAGAACTGCAGAAGAATGGAAACAAAATGGGGTGGGGCGGGCGGGGCGGCAAGACAGAAGAGTGGCCAGCTTCAGACACTCACATACATAAAGCCAGCGAACACTGGCATCAGCAAGGCCCAGGCGCCCCACTAACAGGAACAAACCCAAACACAAAGGTAGCACATGAAATGTATTTACCTATTTAAACACAGGCAGCTGGTTAGGCTAGGATGGGGAAGGTAACTGCTAATTCCTTGTACTACAAGGAAAGAATGGAGTATAAAAAACCAAGCCCATGGGCAGGTTTTTAGCTTTGTGAACCTCTGTCTCTGTGCTGCTGGTAACAGTGGTAAGTATAAAAAAATCAAAGAAAAATAATCTATTTATAGAACAAGTCAGTAGTCTGAGACATTTAGAAAAAAGTAAAAACAAGTCCTTTTTAAAAAATGGATTTACTAAAACAACTGTCACCCGGATAACCCCACACCCTCAGTCCTCTGGCAAAGCCAGGGGCAACTTCCACCAAGATCTGCTGCTGATTGTAGGCTGGTATCCAGCAAAGCCAGCAGGGAGGGGATCTGCACTGCCATCAGTATCTGCAGACTGTTTGCTGGTATCGCTTGAGACCACACCTGTAGCCTTGTGATACTGGAAATACTGTGAGTGTAAGTTTTCACAGAAGCACGTCAGGGTAACCTGTGAGGTAAGAGGGCAGTCCTCATTCCTCCCAGACCCTGGGCACAGATCATGTTGCTGTATCTTTCCACCATCTTCAGCCTGTGTCAGACAACTGTAATATGCAGGAGCATGGAACACTAACAATGCCTAGAACAGGAGAGGTGACACCGGCAGTGAGGGAAAGTGCTTTTTGCTTTCCAAGCTCTGGCACAGACTGACATCTTGACTGATGCGTTGTGGCCCTCCTCAGGATGGGGAGATTGACTTTCCCCGGCAGGGAAATGTACGTGGTGGGGTAGGGCTGGGTGTCTTTTTGGTAAACAGAACCAGTGCTGATTTCTGAAACTGCTCTCTTTTGCCCTCTAACTACAAAATAGAAACATATTCAGCCACTCCCTTCCATCCCCGTAATGTAGTGTGAGCTGCCTGGCCACTGAGGCAGGTTCGGTATCGCCATACACTTCCCTGTTGGCTCAGTCAGTATGGAGACACCACTGGGCTGAAGGTAACTTCCAAATCTCTGCGTGGACAATATAACTCCATGAGGCACCCTTCTAGGGCTGAGCGCTCCAGCCAACGGCTGCTAATTCCAAGCCAACTCAACTTCCCGTTTCACAGACGCACTTCTAACACACCCAAGTGTCTAATCTAACAGTCTCATGTCTGCTCAGCCTCTGAAGGCAGCACCCACACTCAGCTGGAAACACTTGTCACTTAAAATTTTGGCTGGAACTCCCACAGAGGTGATATCTGCATTGATTGGTTGGAACCACTGTGCCTCCGACATCCCCACTGTACAGAGGAAGCCAACAATAAGGGACCATCTCTGCTGAAGGCCTGTACATCCTTGGTAGTGAGGCTGAGTGGCTACATTAGCTTCAAACACCCTCTTTCAGTAGGGTCTCGGTGGTCCATTTTCCCCAAGTCCCAGAAAAACTGAGTAGTTGCTAACTTGTCTCCTTGAGATCTTCCATTGGTAGCTTGTAGCTCAGTAAGAAGGGGGGAGGTGGTGCATGAGCGGGGCTACTTGGGCCCTGCATCGGTTTCTTTGCACAGTTCATACAGATGTAATCCTCGTTCTCTGCCATTTCTGGAGACACACCAACACAAACTTGATGAAACCACTCATCACAGCCTCCATCACACTGCACCCAGTCTACCTGCAGGAGACAAAATGAACACCGCATGAAGAACTTTACAAGGAAGAAATAGGCCAGATTCAAGACTCCAGACGGCTGTCAGAAAAAAAGCCTGAGGCTTTGGTTTCAGTAAACAGTCAATAGCAACTGAAGTCATTGCGGTTCTTTGCTAAAGGCAACAGAAAAACTTGGAATTGCCTTCTACAGCTGTATCACTTCACACTCAGCCTGTATTGTCCTTAAGATGCAGAAACTCCATGGTTTCAGTATGGCCTATAGTTTAGGTACTCAGAGTACTGCTGTGCCGATAAAGGATCACATCTTATAATGTGATGACTTCTCAGTCAGATACAGGGAATTTTATAAGTCCAACTTGCTCTAAAGCTGCCTGCAAAATACCCAGTCTATACATACATGAACCTTCTTCCAAAACAAATCTGTTGTATTTATGTCAGTACTCAAGAACGAAAGAAAGCAGAAACAAGTTTAGTCAGTTGCATGGAGGCCTACCCTAGAGCAAACAAAGAGAAAACATACAAAGGGAATGGATTAACACTATCCTGATTCCTAAGGATCAATGACAGTGGAAATATTAGACTGAAAAAGAATTTGAAATACACCTTCTTCCAAAACAAATCTGTTGTATTTATGTCAGTACTCAAGAACGAAAGAAAGCAGAAACAAGTTTAGTCAGTTGCATGGAGGCCTACCCTAGAGCAAACAAAGAGAAAACATACAAAGGGAATGGATTAACACTATCCTGATTCCTAAGGATCAATGACAGTGGAAATATTAGACTGAAAAAGAATTTGAAATACAGGA